TAATAGCTGAGCCATTGTGGTGTAGCTCTTGAGATGTTACTGTACCGATACCGGTAACTAATAGCTGAGCCATTGTGGTGTAGCTCTTGAGATTTTACTGTACCGATACCGGTAAGTAATAGCTGAGCCACTGTGGTGTAGCTCTTGAGATTTTACTGTACCGGAATTAATAGCTGAGCCATTGTGATTTAGCTCTTGAGATTTTACTGTACTGGAATTAATAGCTGAGCCATTGTGGTGTAACTCTTGAGATTTTACTGTACCGATACCGGTAACTAATAGCTGAGCCATTGTGGTGTAGCTCTTGAGATGTTACTGTACCGATACCGGTAACTAATAGCTGAGCCATTGTGGTGTAGCTCTTGAGATTTTACTGTACCGATACCGGTAAGTAATAGCTGAGCCACTGTGGTGTAGCTCTTGAGATTTTACTGTACCGGAATTAATAGCTGAGCCATTGTGATTTAGCTCTTGAGATTTTACTGTACTGGAATTAATAGCTGAGCCATTGTGGTGTAACTCTTGAGATTTTACTGTACCGATACCGGTAACTAATAGCTGAGCCATTGTGGTGTAACTCTTGAGATTTTACTGTACCGATAACTAATAGCTGAGCCATTGTGGTGTAACTCTTGAGATTTTACTGTACCGGAATTAATAGCTGAGCCATTGTGGTGTAGCTCTTGAGATTTTACTGTACCGATACCGGTAACTAATAGCTGAGCCATTGTGGTGTAACTCTTGAGATTTTACTGTACCGATACCGGTACGTAATAGCTGAGCCATTGAGGTGTAACTCTTGAGATTTTACTATATCGGTAAGTAATAGCTGAGCCAAGGTGGTTTAACTCTTGAGATTTTAATATAAGCTATAGTTGAACCATTGTGTGTTCACTCTTCAGATATTAATGTAATGGTTGAACAATCGTGTGTTAGATCCGTTCCTGGAAATAACTTACAAACAGGAATGGTGCCATCGAAAAACTAAATATTTGCCCTATTCTTACGGTATATAAACATACTCCTGTGTTACCCTCCGTTTGTCCTTATATAAACATTGACATACTCTCGTGTTACCCTCTGTTTGTCCTTGTATAAACATCGACCTACTCTCGTGTTACCCTCCGTTTGTCCTTAAATAAAAATTGACCTACTCCCGTGTTACCCTACGTTTGCCCTACTGACTATGGAAATTAAAAATAAATATATTAGACCCCCCCTCCCCCCGGTCCCGGCTTATGCGTGGCTACATCAGGCCGGTCCGTCACCGTCCAGACTTTGAGAAGCACCGAGCTAGGTGACGACTAGGTAAGAAACAATCAATTCCAAGCCGCGTGGGCGGACATGATGATGGCAGCGTGTATCTACCCACATCTTCACGTCATTGGCTCAGTTATTTATACCAGGGACCTCACAGCGATGAAAACTCCACGGAAAAATTCAGTCTTAAACGTACGGTTATTGTTACTCGCTTGGGTAAATGACCGAAATTAAAATGAAAATGAAAAAACAGCACGTGGGAAAAACGTTTTAGTTTCAGCAAAAAAGATCAGTAAGGTAGTGAGAGCCTGAGGCAGGATTTCTACACCCACCCAACGCCCCCCCCCCCCCCCCCCCC